AGCTGTTTCTGGTAGATGAAAGAAGACTTTCCACGTTTTTCGCACACTAGTGTGGAGGTATCCCTCTGCCGGTACAACGAGCCCAGGCTGTGGGCGTTGCTTCTCCACACCCCACTGCAGGGTCGTTTTCTTCGGGACAATAACCGAAGAACCGCTGAAGCGTCTTCCGGAGATAACCTGACGTCTCTGCTGCTGTTGTTGTTTCTCCTCCATTGGATGTTGTTGTGACCGCTGCTTCTGGCCAAGTAGCCCATCCTCAGTCTGGCCATGGCTACTAGAGCCTGTCGACTCAGGTGCAAATCTCACATCGGAGAGTGATGAGTCACTCGTCGTCTGGTGGGCGTGCGGCGCTTCAATCTTTTGAAGACCCACAGGGGTTTCGCTACGTTGTGGCTCTGCTGCGCGGCTACCCCGCACGGCCATGAGCGCGGAACCCTGACGCGGGATTGCCTGCGCTGCCACCACCTCCTTCTGTTTGTCAGCGGACCCCGGTCGCGTTGGAGCGAGTGTGCGACGACTGGCGGACAACGGTGTGCGCGACGCGAGGGTGGAGCCGTCCGTTGAGGAGCACCGCGCTGTGAGTTCAGCGTGCGCATCCTTGCGCGGCGGAGGCGGCCGGGTGGGCTGCCGCCGCAACAACTCTGCAAGCCGCTCTGCTTCGCGTCTCCGCTGCTCCGCCTCCTGCTGCTGCCGCTGCTGCATCCAGAGTATCTCCGCGTAGCCCAAATCGTACAGGTAGCGGCGTGCAGGATCGCTCAGAACATCGTAGGCATCCTTGATTTCGCGGAAGTGTTCACCGCAGCCGTCGTCCACGCGGTCTGGGTGGTGCAGCAGGGCTAAGCGCTTAAACGCCTCTCGCACCTCCTTCGCCGAGCACGACGGATGGAGGTTGAGAAGCGCATAGTAATCCACAAACATTACCCCTTCAAACCGTGGAGGAATATTTACTCCAGTGCCCTTTTTATTTTTTCTTTTTGTGGGTTCTCCGTTTCCCAGTGTAGTGCCCCTCGATCAAACAGGACTTATATGTGCGCTTGTGTACGAATGGTGCCGCAACGCTTTGGCGCCTCCCTAAAGTGCGGCGTCAGCCGTGGCGTCGAGGAGCAAGCGAACGGCTTGAATTGTTGGTTTTGCACATAAAAAAAAAACCAATCAAACAGAGAATGGAGGAGGGAGTGGAAGATGGAAAGGAGAGAAGAAAAAGAGAAGAGTTGGAAGCTCATGTCAAGCCAAGCATCCACACACCATGCAAAAAAAAAAAAGCGTCCATAAACACACCGGCACACACACACACTGACTTGTGTATGTGGTCGTGGGTGTATACCTTTTGTTTGATTTCTGCTTCGTTGCATTTTCCTTTTCGTTTAATCGAGCGGAGAGAAGTTCGCTGTCGCCGCTCCTTCTCTGCCTGTTGCTTAGCGCCGCACCTCTTTCCGCACACACACACACACACGGAGAGAAACACGCCCAGACTACCGTGCCCGTCACTTCACTTTGCGGCACGGCGCACCCGCTTCGCCTCCTGCCGCTCACGCGAACTGAGCAGCGCATTCTCGAGGGCGTCGACGCCCATGATGGCGTCCACAGTGCGGCCATTGAGTTTCCCCTGCCGCTCCTTCTTCACGTAGTAGCTGTCCTTCATCAGCTCATCAATCTCTGCCTGCTTCCACGCCCGGCTCCGCTCCCCACGGGACATTTTAGTAAGTTTCAGCACCTCCAATTTCTCGTTGCGCTCCGTACGGTGCTTCTTCGCCACGGTGCCGTCAGCCGTATCAGCTTCAGCGTCAGCCTCGCGCTGACGCCGCTGTGCACGCTCCTGCGCCGCGCGATCCTGCTTCTCGCGGGTCTGTTTATTGATGCTTGCCAAGATATCCTGCAGTTCATCCTGTAGAGGGATCTTCAGCATCTGCATGTGCTTGATCTCACCACAGTTGGGTATCTTGAAGAGACCGAAGCTGTGGGTCAGATCAGTAAGGTCGATCAGCTGCAACTGGAAGATGTACCGGCATTCGTGCTCCTTGTATGCACGAATAAAGGAGACGAAGGCTCGAGCCGCCAGTTCGAGTAACTTCCTGTTTTCATCTTGCCGTACTGAACGACGTAGTTCGAGAATGGAAAGACTTTCGCACAAGTCTCCTAAAACCTCCTTTCGCGAGGCCCGTGGTGTGACGCCGCGTGCCCTCTCTCGCTCTTCTTGCAATTTCTCCCGTCGTTCCTTGCGGCTCAGCTGCTGCTCTCGGTGTGCCTGGTGAATAGCCTTGCGCTTGTCTTGATGCGAGCTCAGCAGCGTACGCTTGGCGTTCATGTGTGCAACGAAATCTCGCGCGGTTGCAATGCTATCTCGCTCCTCGTCATACGGCTGTAGTGTGACGTTCTGCAGCTTCATGAAGGCCACGTACTCCAGTTCCTGTGGAAGCAGAAAGACTAGGCTCTCCCCCTGGCGTCCCATGCGGGCGGTGCGGCCGATGCGGTGAATGAACGTTGAGGGGTCGACAGGCGGGTCGTACTGCACCACGACACCCACCTCGGGGATATCCAAACCGCGCGCCGCCACATCTGTGCAGATTAGCACGCAGCGGCTTCGCTTCGTCACAGCGCGATGCACTCTTTGTCGCTTCTCGAGCTTCATCTGCCCATGGAGTGCAAAAACGTTTTCTGCGTCGTCTTTCAGAAGCACGTCAACAAGAGCCGTATGAAGCCAGTCCACACTTGCACATGTCATCACATACACAAGCACCTTCTGCTCGCGGCGCTCACTAAGAAACGTGAGCAAGCGATCCAGTTTCTCCGACGCCTTTGTGAAGGTATAGTAGTTGCGTAGAAGCTCCGGGATCTGCGGTTTGGAGGCATCGGTGCTGGCGGAGTTAAGAGAGCTCAAACGAACCGTGACAGAAACCGGGTTGCGCATGCCTGCGCGCGCCAACTCCGCCAGCTCTTTTGTCTGTGTGGCGCTGAAAAGACCAGTGCGCCTCTGCTTGGGCAGTCGCTTGAGAATGGCGTCCAGCTTTGCCCGGAAGCCAAATTCGAGTAGCTTGTCTGCCTCGTCGAGGATGAGAAGCTCAAAGCTCGTGAAGTTGAAGAGACTTGTGTGCTTGGACGACACGAGCAGCTCGTAGAGGCGACCAGGGGTGCCGATTAAGACGTTTCCGCCGTTCTTGCTGAACACATCCACATCAATTGCGATGCTGCGGCCGCCAATGTAGCATTGGCACGAGTATTTGGGAAGCCCTGTCTTGCCGCCCGTGTACTGATACGAGATGTGGTGCAGCATCTTCTTGGTGAGCAGATGCACCTGCTGCGCCAGCTCACGCGACGGCAGCACAATGATGGATATAACCGCATTCTTTTGTTCCTTGCACGTCTCGATGACGCGTTCGTTCTGCAACATCTCCAAGCACGGCAGCAGATACGCCAGCGTCTTGCCACTACCCGTGATAGCCTCCACCACCACGTCATAGTTGCGCAGCAGGAGCGGGATGGTCCGCGCCTGCACGGGTGCCATGTACTGGAAGCCCGCACACTCCGTCACGTACGACAACGTCGCGGGACGAAGCTGCACCCCCTTCATGTCCTTCCACTCGCTGCCGCTCACACCACTCATTTCGCTGCAACGCTCTAACGTATCACAAGCGGCAAAAAAAAAAAATCAAAAAGAAACGCAACCAAATAAAGATAAGATAAGAAACACCCCCAAAAAAAGTGAAAAATTCAAAAATTTCGAGAACGTTGGAGCCAAGAGCCAAACGTCAATGTCACCCATGCAGCAGAACTGCTTGCTTTCGCATCAGCTCGTAACGGAGTCAACACACGTTAAGAGCGATTCAGAGGAGTCAACAGGAAAACAACAACACCAACAGTTCCTGGCATGACGTTATAGAACTCCTTCCTGTGTGTGAAGAACATCCTTGACAAATTCATCTATAGTCTCCGCGTATCCCGCCAGCAACGGGATAGTATTGTGCATTCCCTCAGGAAACTCAACAAATTTTCGTATAGCGGTCGCT